AGAATTATCACTGGAAAGCGGAATTTGATCATGTAACACCGGCATTAAGAGAGCTAAGGTGGCTCCCCGTGACCAGTTTTCTTAAATATACACTTGGAGTTTTAGCATTTAAATGTGGTAAGGGGTTAGCCCCTAGCTACCTTTGTCATAGATTTAAGACACGTGATTGCGTTCATGACTGTAATACTAGATATAAGAATAACTTGAATATCCCAGCTTATAAGTCAGCTTCTGGGCAACGCACATTTTTATACCGTGCAACGAGTTTCTGGAATTCTCTTCCATGTGAAATAAGAGGATGTGACAATTTGCCAATCTTCAAGAGACATTTAAAGGAATTTCTCAGCAGTTTTTAATTAGTAATGTGATATATTTTACCATCTATTAGAATTTTAGATTTTTAATTTTAATGTATTTAGTATTGATTGTAATTAGTTTTTAAAACCCATTTAGTGGAAAACTAATAAACTCATTCAACTCATTCATTCATGGAGGGATGAAGGTAGGAAGGAAGGGAAAAAGGGAGGGAGATTGGGGCCCCCGCTTTCGCGCTCTTCTCATAAATTACAGATGTTTGACTGAAACAAATTCCCGCTATAACGGACTCTTGCTTATGAGAACAGTAACCCAAGGTCCCTACAGCGTCCGCTATAAAGAGAGTTGACTGTAGGACTGCAAAGAAACTAGCTTCTTCTCACTCCTCATAACCTCAAAGTTGTAACATTGCATACGAAGAACTTGGAGTTCTTTTTCTTTCAAAACTATTTTCCTTCCAGATCAGTCGATGAATGACTAGCCTTGTTCTCTTGATTCTTGGGGTAATATGGGAGCCCTATTTCTTTTTATTTTATTTTTTTTTTTTGAAAAAAAAGGATGAAAATAATGTTTTGGGTTTACTTATAATCAAAGCGTACAGAATATATCATTTTTACCGGATTACTTACAAAGATAACCTACCTTGGATCCAAAGATTCATCAAAGAACAAAGTAAAAGGAATTTAAGGAAACGAAGTCTGGGATCTTTTCGTACGTAGTCTTTCTCCATGTCTTTAGCCGGTTTTTCCATTGCGAAGTGCTTTGGTGCCAGTAGAACTTCCTCAATATTTTAATTGACTGCCTTTGTTTATAATAGAGCCTCTGAGTAAACCTTTGATAAAGATTGTTATCAGATTAATGATTAATGCCATATATTTTTAGAAATTATTTGGAAAAGCGCATATTAATGTCTTGACTGTAAATCTTTGTCTGGAGGGGAGTCTTGTTCCAAGTTATTTTTCAATTTAGGTGTAAATTAAACAAGGTGTTTGTGGAAATATATTCGGGTTGAAATGTGTTGCGTTGAATGCCTTTCAAAATACAACGGACATTGGAATTATAGTCCAACCAATTCTACAACCTCGGACAAAACCTGCGGAGAAACAACCACAGAACGAAATAACGTTTTTCCGTATTTTGTAAACTCGACGAAAACGGGAAGTTGCTTATATCCGTCACGTTTCCTCCCTGCGGAAACATGGTGATCTAGAATCTCGTCCTGTGAACCCCGTTCCTCTTATCCTATATTGCTTAAGATAACACGAGAATTATACGCGTTGGGATTTAGACCAAAACAACGTTGAATAGGGGATGTGGAGGGGGCTTTCTTTTTCTGTTTAGAGGAGATGGTAGTATGGCGCAAAATTTAGAAAATGGACGGAACTCTCTCAACAGTTTTGTTGGAGGTTATACTGCCAATTACAATCTGTCAACTTTGGGTGGGGGATGGGGGGTGGCGAGGAGAGGGAAGGAGCATCTAATATGTGCAAGTAAAGCAGTAAGGGACATGAATTACAAAATAATAAAATACTGGATATAATAATAAATGATATGCATTATTTGCCGTCTACTTCTATTAGAAGCTGAAGCTGTATTTTTCACCGAAATTTATACAAAAGGAAAAAAAGTTGAACTCATTATTCAGAATTTGCACCTATCGCAATATTCAAATGAAAATAAATGTGGACTTGCGTGTCAATATCTTATGCATTTTCAGCAGGCTATATGACTTTTGTATCACAGCCTCCCAGACTCATTTGGCAGTTGTCAAAATTGGTTCTTCATTTACCCAGGCTGGAACAGACAGCTTCTTAACAGGTAACCTTATGGTTTCATCTTTCGACTTAAAGAATATAGCGAAAACACAACTTGAGGAACTTTTACAATGACGTCAGAGAAAGGGAACGTCATTGGTACTTTAGCAGGTGTTTCAATGATGTTTGGTTCCCATGGAAAGAGAACCGAGACAACCACATTGAATATCTTAAAATTATCCCAGTGAAAAAGTAAGAAATAACCTTACTACACCAAATTTAACAATTCAAACCGCTTCTCAAGTGCTTGAATCCTAGTATTTCTCCTTCTTTGTCATTGTTCTCGTCTTTGGTTCGACTGATTTGGCTGAGATCACGTACGTATGAAATCGTAAAATCATTTCTAATATCTTTATCATTAGTTTCTTTATAATATTTGTGATAAGATAACGACAAAAGGTTCGATGGGTATTGTCCTAATCGTAAGTTCAAGTTCAGACACTGACAAACTCAGTAGTCCAATCAATTTCTTTTATTTAGAAATTTACGGGAAGTGAAAGTCCAAACATAATGAAGTGATGGAGAAAAGTAGGAAGTGGCTTTAAGTAATATCCTGATATTAATCACTGTTGCACAGCTGAAAGGTAAACAATCACCTAATGGACTTGCGCATTTGATATCATTTATGAGCTGAGGGATTTGAATATCAAAAGATACACGCGTGAACCAGAAAGAGATAAGCGCATCCCTTGCAATATCGAAACCTTGTAGAGTCGAAGTTAAATTGCAAGTCAAAATCGTGATAACCAACCCCTTACCGTGCCCTAGTCATATTACCGAGAGCACTCAATTGTTTGGTACTATGGAGAATTCACCGACAGAATTTTCTGTTGAAAGCCCAACGTCGACAAATACCTCTGGATTCGAACATTCAGTAGAGGTGAGAACTGACGAGAAGTCTGAAACCGGCCTTGTCGATGGTTTCCCCAGCATGAACGTTTTCTCCACGTCGAGACCCCTACACTGTTTTCACGTCTTTTCTTGTCTCACGTCTTGTTAGCGGGTTATTACCCTGTTCTTACATACGCTTGCACAGTACACTGTTAATGATGTAAAAATACATACGTCTAAACATCTAAAGGATCTAGGATCACATTTTTTAAAAACGGCCTTTGGACCCTCCGTGTGGATCCAAATTCATATTAATATCGATTTTACTAAATTTGGCGCCTCCGCGTTTATCATTTCGTTTTTGCGACTTCGGTGCGGTGCTTATTTGATGCACCAGCTTACCGGCGCGGACAATCTTGTTCAGCCAACTGAGAGGGTCTTTTTTCTTTTATGTGTGCATTATAGTAACTCGCCATTCGCAGTCCAGTACTATCGCCCCCTGTTAGGGAATTCAAGACAGTCTTGGATTCTGGACCCCATTCCGTGGATTGTGGATTCCGGGAGCTGGATTTTCAGTGGAACGTGGATTCTGGATTCCATGCCTTAGTGGGATTTCGGAGTACTTGAGCTCTATTCTGGATTCCAAAGCCCTGGATTCCGGATACCACAAGCAAAATTTTCGCGGATTTTGGATTCTACAAGCAATAATTTCCCAGATTCTAGAATCCGGATATTCTTACATGGGGCGAAGTGCTAGTCAAATATTTTCGGACCTGTTCACGCATATTTAATCAAGCAGTGGGAAATTTACTTTTTAACGGTCTATTTTAAAAAGTTATGGATCGGAGTAACTTCTGGTCAGTGCAGCTTTTTCAGACTGGACCACATCTTAAACTAGAAGAGGTTTTTTTCCCTTAGGGTTTTAAACTTTTTCTTACGGTTTTTAGTTTTTAATTAATTCAGTGGGATTCGGGTGGGTGTAGCTTAGTGCATTCACGGATATATTATTGTTATTTGTTTTCATACATTTATGATCTTTTTAAATTATTTTTTATTTAAATGTATTGTATCTTTATTGACTTAGTATTTTTATTGTCATGCGTTTTATACATGAGCCTCTGGCTCGGATGATCGGGGCAACCCCATCCCACGTAATAATAAATTGATTGATTGATTGATTGATTGATTTGGTTCTGAAACGATATTTTTCCGTCTTCACATAATAGACTTAACACGAATGTTCGGGGCAGTGGGAAATTAAACATAATAATAATAATATAATGATTTATTTCTTATTAGGCACAAATTAACATCTGAATATGATCAAATGCGCCTTACAACTATAACTACCTATAATAATAACAATAAAGTATAAATTGTACTTAAGAATACCTAAAATTTATAATCTAAAATTTATCAATCTAACTATAACAGGCAAAAGCCTTGCTAAATAAGTAAGTCTTTATTGTTCGTTTAAAAACCAAAAAGTTATCGATGTCTCTGACACCTGCAGGCAAACTGTTCCACAGTGCAGGGGCAGCTATTTAACAATTATGCCTCGAGCCCGAATGGGCTCTAAGTCAATAGCCCATGAGGCCGAAGGCCGAATGAGCTATTGACTCAGAGGCAATGAGGGCGAGGGGAATAATTGTGAAAATGAAGAAATGATCGTCGCAGTGAACGCAATTTATGCAATTGCGTAAAGAAGCCTGAAAAAAAATTCAACGGGGTTTGAATGATATATGAAATAATGATATATGAAGTAAATCATATATGAACTACGGAAATGAAATAAAAATGAAGAAATGATCGTCGTTGAAGTCCTTTTCTTTTTTTTCAGGCTTCTTTACGCAATTGCATAAATTGCGTTCACTGCGACGATCATTTCTTCATTTTCATTTCATTTCCGCAGTTCATATATGATTTATTTCATATATCATTAACACTCATTTCTTTCACGGGAACATATGAACCCACAATTGACCTTCTTCCAACGTCAGTGGCTTCATAGCTCAGTTGGTAGAGCATCGCACCGGTGTCGCGAGATCACGGGTTCAAACCCCGTTGAAGTCCTGAATTTTTTGTCAGGCCTCTTTACGCAATTGCATAAATTGCGTTCACTGCGACGATCATTTCTTCATTTTCATTTCATTTCCGCAGTTCATATATGATTTATTTCATATATCATTAACAGGAATAATTGTTTTAGTAAAATCCAACTATTTGTTCCGAAAATATCGAAACAAAACAACTTCAAGCAAGACTTTAATCCTTTTTGCAGCCAAAAATCCGGCGCTTTTCGCTACTATTGGGCTATAACATATAGCCTAGTAGTCGCTCAAACAATCAGAACGCAGCATTGACAATAGATCAATAGCTGGATTTTACTAATTGGAACTCTGTCACCCAGAGTTTTCTTTGTTTTCCCATGGGCAACTGCAATAGTAGTTCTTCAGAAGAACAAAGTTGGTATTTACAGTTCTCCTTTAATCGAACTAGCTTGCAGATATAGGACGGCGCAGATTGATATACTGCTTTAAACGTTAAAACTAAGATTCTAAACTCGATACGGTAGCAACGGGTAGCCAATGCAAAGAAAATAAGACGGGCGTAATATGATGGCTCGGAGTTAAGCATACGAGCCGGGCAGGATTATTTTGAATGCGTTGTAACTTACTCATGTGTACCGCGGGAACTTTATAAAGAAGACTATTACAATAATCTAAGCTGCCTATAACAATGGAGTGAACAAGCGTTTGTGTGGCATCATTGTTGAGGCACAAAATTGAAGGTTGGAAAGGAATCTTTTACTTGCTGAACTAATTTTTGAACGATATATATCATTGGCGAGGGGGAAAAGGGAATTTTAATATAGGTTTGGAGGGAAAATGAAGCATATCTTACTTAAAAGTGGCAAGTATTTGAATAACTGATTTTGCTGTGACAGCAAATTGAACATTTAACTAAATTTGAGTTGAAACCTTCAATTCTGAATCGCGATGTGCCACAAGTTTTATTGCATAACTCCACAAAATCTTTAACTAAAACATGTTCTTAGGTCTGAATTAGGTGCCACTGGTGATTTTGAGGCATAATTTACTCGAGCAGTTTGCTTTCTTAATTGGATTAGTGAAGTAAAGACGACCAGTTCTTGCTGATTACCGAAAGATAATGCCTAAATGGTATTGGAACAGTAAGAAGAAGCAATATGCTTCCAAATGAGTACTCTAAGATTTGATGACCCGAAGTACCTTTAAACGATCATCAAACAACCCGTACAACAGTGACTAAAATTTGAATATTTTAGCCGCCAACGGTCGTCCAGCAATGAAATGCTGGGAATTCTATCTGCAATTTCCTTATTAGGATGGATAGTAGTATTGATGGCAAAATATAATGCAAAAGTTTTGTCGAGTTCGGAATCCAGTGGAACGCTTTTAGGGAGACTGCCTCTTAAATTTGGTAGTCCCAGTGAGGTTTAATTAACAAAAGCCTTAATTTGCACAAGAAAGCAGTACACTGAAGGATTCTGGTCTTAATAGTAAAATGACGCCATGGTGCAAATGGCCTATTTGCCCCGAAATGCCAGTTTTTGGCAAGTTAAGGCCTCTTGGATGTTGTTCTTTTCAGAATATCCTGACAAATCCCATAATTTCACAAATTAACACCTTACCATTACCATATTTCATTTCTTACTATTCCACCGCATTTACAATTAATCAGTTCCACAACCACGACGCCGAATTGAAGTATACCCTCCATAGCGTGACAGAGGACAGAGGACGCAGAGGACGCAAACAAAACCCGTCAAGTTCATTTGACATTCGAGGTTGTTGGCCCAGCGTGTCAAAACATTTCGGGAAACCATCACATTCGCGGACAAAAGAATATTGCTTTTAGTTATTCAGATCCAGGAGGCACTTTGGGGAAAATTAAACAACATAAAACCTTATTTAGCCGCAACAAAGAGCGTTAATTTTAGATCAGAGGGCCAATCCTGCCGACCAAAAACAAAACCCACAGAAAATCAATATGCGCGTCATGACCTCTCGGTGTGAAACGAGCGGCAAAAATCACATTTTAGAACCGTCCAGAGCATATTATCTATCCGCCAGAAGGAAAAAACTTATTGGAACAAGCAGCATCATTTTAAGCATTTTAGTTAATTCTTTGACTTTCGTCTGTTTCTTGTCACAATTAAGCGGACTTCTTCTCACGGCTTTCTCACGAGGGAAACAGAATTTGAGTCCTCTTCGGACAAATCATCGCTTATCGTACGCTTGCGAGTAGGAACGCTAACTTCAATTTCTTGAACTGAAATGTGCTCATCAGGCTCATCTAAATATTGATGCCGAGATCTAGACGCCTGTAAATCTCACTCGAAAAGGGTCATGTTCAATATTCAACAGTCGATTGCCGTCACAATATTCTGCTTCGTTTGCTCACGCGTGGACTTGATGATGTTTCAAACAATCGATTAAAATGAGCGGACGTCCCAGGAATTAGTCTTCTGTTTCATTACAACCTCTAAAAATAACTTTAGTGAAATTCACATATCCCGGCCAACGCCCTAAGATTCCCTCTCTGTCCCATTATGGCTCTTGTTTATGCTAATGCGTGTATCGCAAAAACTGCTCTTGTATGTCCATTTATACACTGTAGAATTCCTATGATTTAGTTCTGTTCTGGGTTGATAAATATGCAGCCTCATTTGAGAGTTGCTTATAAAATGGTTTGGCTCATGGTAATGAAGATGAGTGGACTGGTTTATACGTGCCAGTACTTTTCTTTTGCAAAAGTTATGATTAATAATTTTTTTATTATTAATCATTAGTCTAACGGAGCTTCATGTCAGTTCTAATTCAGTCAGTAATCATACAGCTGTACTCGTGATTAAACAAATTGGACTCCCGCTACACAGTTGTCTGATTTCAGTATTAAACACTTGTACATGTATGATTGTAGACCGAATAGACCGATACTGCGGCCATATTGAATTAATTCGATTTAAGGAGTATTATAGGATGCCCAGGGAGCATGAGCACATTTCGTTTGTATTTTCGAGCCCTTTACGAGGCATGTTGCCTTAAAGTTTTCTTAGAATAAGATTGTAATTGGAAAAAAGATCCTTGTACCGTGTTTGGATGTAATAATGATCGCCTTTTTCTAGTTTAGTATTAGAAATATAATCTTTCACTGCATATTTCTCGGAAAAAAGGCGATCATTATTACATCAAAACACGGCACAAAGATCTTTTTTCCCATTACAATCTTATTCTAAGAAAACGTTAAGAAAAAATGTCCCGAAAAGCGCTCAAAAATGCAAACGAAACGTGCTCATGCCCCCTGGGCATCCTATAATACTCCTTAAATCGAATTAATTCAATATGGCTGCCGTATCGGTAAATAGGTCTATTGGACTCCACTCAGCCCGACTGAAGTAGTGAACGTACGTGTTACTTGCAGAGCCTCCAGTGTAGAGCAAATTTTCAGTTGCTAATTGTGATATTTATCATTCTTTGACAGGTTAAGTTTTCAAATGGAAGGGAGATTTACTACCAAGGTTCAAGCAGTGCTATGGGGGGCAACAACTGCAGCTAAGAATTTACACATTTTAGCCTGTAAACTGGATGGATATTTAAACCTTCAACACCGTATTATATTACACAGTACATATTTTTTTCATAAATGTCTTGCTAGCCTCCCAACTTTATGTTTACAACTAGTGCATGACTGTATTTCTACATGTTAAAATCGTGTTAAAACCTGACGTTTGGCATCGGCTTACATGAAGTGGGCATACGGACGGTCGGCGTTCGTACGCTACGTCATAACCAAATTTTCTTGCTTTTATAAGTTACCAATTTATAGCGGGAGCTCCGCTATTACAAATGTTCAAGATGTACAGTACTCACTGTTGTTGCTGAATTTTGGTTACCTTTTTTCAATAAAATAGCGCTGTTGGCCTTTGAAGATGCCTCTTTATTGAAACATTATTTGTAACTGTACTTCTGTACTTTAGAAATGTAGAGTGCAGTTTTCAACCCAGGCCAGCTCTTGCCTCTTGACTTGATAGCTTTAACTTTATCATTAAAGCCAGGGAAAAACTTGTTTACATTTTGTCCTGTCTGTAATACGTAAAACGGCCTAAACACTGTATTTTTAATCAAGTAAGTTACACTTAAGTCATCCAAATTATTTTCAACAAGAATTGATGACATTTCATAATTTGTAGAATGTTAATTAAAAGATTCATCAGAAGAATTTAGTTCTTATACTGATGATTCAGTTTAAGGTGATGATCTGACCCCATGATCTAATCTCGATTCAAAACTATTTTATGGGATATTCCTTTTTTGATACATGACCACACTCTGCCTCATTAAGGGTGCTTCAGTAGAACAACTGAAAAAGCATGCTGCAGAGGAAGTAAAGGCTAGTTCATTCCAAGTGGCAATATTTAACTCCCTTTTGTTTTCTTTAGCTGATGAAAACATTTTATAATCGAACCATGCAGGAGATAGTGTATACATGTACATGCATGGATTGAATTTCGCTGGTATTTTTTATGTACAGTGTATTCAGATGTGTATAATAAGTATACACGTCCGAATAGTATTGTACAATGCATGTGCCTTAATTCATGTTGAGTAGCACATACATTACAGTCAACTTTCTTTTAACGGATACTTGGAGACTGTTGGTATATGTATCTGTCTTTCTGTCTATAGTTCATTCCAAGTGGCAATATTTAACTCCCTTTTTTTTCTTTAACACATGAAAACATTTTATAATCGAACCGTGCAGGAGATAGTGTATACATGTACATGCATGGATTGAATTTCGCTGGTATTTTTTTTTTAAAGTACAGTGTATTCAGATGTGTATAATAAGTATACACATCTGAATAGTATTGTACATTGCATGTGCCTTAATTCATGTTGAGTAGCACATACAGTACAGTCAACTTTCTTTCAACGGATACTTGGAGCCTGTTCGTATGTGTTTCTGTCTTTTTCCTTAACTATTGATACAATAGACAAAAACTTAGATGTTGTGCTAGCTGCATGGTCCCAGAGTGGATCTGTCCTGTTGAACGTTGACTGTAAATAGTGCAGCCCAAAGTACTGGTTTCGTTAGGCTATAGCTAATTCTAGTGCAGCTCAAACGGTATTAATTCATTTACTGTATACATGTCCTTTTGGTATATATTGTGCCAGGAATGCAATATTCTTGCTGCAAAGTTATTAAATATTTAAATTGAAAGCATTATTTCACAGTAACACTGCTTTCCTCATCAGCATTTTCATGGGAAATTAATGAGACATGAAATCATTCATACATTTTACATGACTCACAAATCAAATTCAATTTTTATTTCATGACCCATTAAACGTTTCTCATGGCTCCATCATTGAACTTTCTTGGTATGTTTCCATAAGGTGGTGTTTCATTGGAAATTCGTGACCCATAATTCCTGGGCCATGAAACAGCTTTAACTTTTTTCCCACGAAAATTTAATGGCCACAGATGAGGTCATGAAAAATTATTTTGCAAGATTCATTGGACGGGAAATGATGTTCATGGTATTTTCACAAATCCCAGTTTCATAGTGGATCTGTTTATGCCATGTGGCTGCATGGTTTTTGCCCTTTCAATATACAATTATTCACGAGCTCTACGCACAGATTCGCTTTTACTGATAATAAGTTCAAGTGGGATGAGTTCTACATCTACGAGTTTGTGTCCTTTCGGATTAAAATGCTGTGGTACTGCGTCGTCGGTCTTGTGTTCTATGACTCTTCGGTGTTCTCCAAATCTGTCTCGTAATGCGTGTTTCGTCTATCCTATATTCTGCTGGTGTGTTGGGGATGTTTTCCCATTGGCGACACTGTATCATGTAAATGAGATTTTTGGATCCGCATGTGATCATCTATTTTTTATGTATTATAGGATATGATATATTTATATATTTTTTTTCTCCTTATTTTAACTTTTTTGCTATTATAAACTAGCCTGGGCGTATATCAGTTACTGTATTGTTTAGTTTATTCCTATTGGTCTATTCATATTAATTTTTTACTCGTATCAAATTTCCAACTGTACCGCTTTTTAACTATATTTACTTTCCGTTTCCTCAAAAAATCACTCGAAGAAGAACGGCTTGACCGTTCGAAATATTGGGTCTACCCAAGTCGCTTTGTTGTTTGCTGTTTTGTTATTACAGTTTATAAGGTTATTTTGGCCGTACGCTTATAAAATTTCGAAATATTTTTAGATATAAGCAAGTTGTGTCTAATAATGTCTAAAGAGAGTGTTTTGAAAACATGGGAACTGGTTTTTTCAGTTTAGCGATTCTTCAGGAGTCAGAAGTCCGTGAAGGTCAGCTGAAATATTGAGATTTGAAATAACCTGAAAATGTTTTACGATTAATATTAATCTACGTTTTTGTCGGCGGTTATAAACGGTAGCCATAGTCATACGTTGCTTCAAATTTTCTTAAAAGTTGCCCAAAGTTGCTGGGCTTTTCCAAAACGTTGCTAAAAAGTTGCTCCTTAACTGAAATCAATAATAAACAATAATTAAAATAAAATCAATAATTTTATTTAACGCATCTAAGGAGGGTGACTTTTAAATGTACAGCAACCTTTTGCTTTCCTACAAAATCAGAGTACTATACCTTTTTATATAGGTAAACTGAACGCTATTTAGGTCTTTCTATAACAATATCTTTCTATTTTGCTTTCCTACAAAATCAGAGTACTATACCTTTTTACATAGGTAAACTGAACGTTATTTAGGTCTTTCCTATAACAATACCTTTCTCATAGTCTTTCTTTTGTTAATCTAGAAAAACTCTATATTTACCGTTATGCTTTTTGAGGAGACAGTTGTGCAAGTGTACTTTCCAGTTTTGTTGGGGTCGTTTTCGTTCGAGGCAGAGAGGTCAGAGTTGGAAAGTTCTTCCTCTGAACTACTATGTTTCGATGTTTGTCACCATTTTGGAGAATGTGGATTTATTTGTGAACCATTGACCGAGGGTCTCAATGGGGTTAACCGATAGGCGTAAAACGGCCAAAACTTTAGTCGATAGCCGTAAAAATTGAAAAATTTTAACCGTTAGCCGTAATTAGGGTAAAAAGAGTTAACCGTAAAAAAGCATTTGTTTCCTGCGGCCGAATGGGCTATTGAATCAGAGGCCATGAAGGAGAGAGGAATAATTGTTTTACTAAAATCCAACCAGTTGGTCAAAAATATCGAGACAAAACAACTTTAGCTAGCAAAGCGCGATTCAGCCGCCATTGTTTTGGTTTTCAAAGCCGGCGCTTTTCACTACTAGTGGGCCATAACATATGGCCTAGTATTGAGGAAGGTTCTAAACTCACCTATGACCGGTTGCGTTTCTTTTTTTTGCCGCTACTTTGACTCCGTACTCTTGCGTGTCTACTTTTGCTTTTTCAAGATCTTTTTCAAATGAACTGTTATGTCTGTTATGAGAAATGATCCCTTTCATCCCTTTGTTACAGAAGTAAATGCGCTCTTTCCATGAATAATCTTTTAGCTTCTCGAAATTGTGATTTTACGTAAATATGCAAACTTATAAGATTAACCATCTTTTATTTGACTAAACTTTAATACGATGGAAGATGGACTGCTGATGTTTTGATATATTAACAGTTATCTCTTTTGGAATCAGCTGAATCAGCTTTAATGCTCGGACATCTTGTCCCCAACTTTGACATTCTATCTTTAGTGTTAATTGCACATTAACAAGTAAAACCTATAATCAGATAACTTAAAAGGAATAGACTATAAAAACAGCAAAAATCTGTAATTAATCGGATGAAGAAGAACGCGAATAGTGAGAACTAAAGGATAAATAGCAGACAAGGAACTGAGAGAGATAAGAGAAGAAAAGTGAAGGGGCAGAGAAACTGTCAGGCAGTAAGAAACTCAGTTAAGGAAACTGTAAGTCTATTACTTAAAAATAAATCCTATTGTCCTTCTGAGAACGACCCCATCACCACGTGTCAAGTAAAACCTCTATAGCTTATCACTTGTGGAAAGCTCGTTTACACCTTACAAAAAAATGTTTGGATGCATTTTGGGTTTCCAAATCACAACGCAATTTGCAGCAAAAACAAAACTGAGAATAACTCTTGACTGTTCAGATAGTTTTTGAGAATTTTTAATTAATTTTCTATATTAGACTGATGTTTTTAACCGTGTATAAATAAAGTTATCATTCATTCAAATAGCAAAGGAAATTGCGATGGTATCAGTTGTCAAGGAATGGAGGTAGACTTTGCTTTAGTGTTACAAGTTAGGCCGAGGAAGACATTTCATAAGAAAGATCAGAACCACAGCAGACAAGTCGAGAATTGCCCGAAACAGGACGCTGACACAAGCAACGAATCTTGAAATAAAAACGGATCGAAATCCACCAATAACAAATTACAAACCAGGACCTTTTGAACTCTTTGAAATGAACATCTGTTGGCTAAAAGGTCTGCTAAGGTGATTGACAGAATAGAAAAACCTATCTAAAATTCTTTCGAAGTTTGCAAAACGCGATACAAATAATTTGCCTGTAATATTGTACGAAACAATGAGCTAGTTGCCTACACACGGACAGGGAATCTCTTGTCTGAGGGTCTCAATGGGGTAAACTGATAGGCGTAAAACGGCCAAAAATTTAGTCGATAGCCGTAAAAATTGAAAAATTTTGGCCTTTAGCCGTAATTAGCATAAAAGGAGTTAACCGTAAAAAAACATTTGTTTCCTAGCTAGATTTGTTAATTTTAAGGAAGGTGCTAAACTCACCTATCTGACCGGTTGCGTTTCTTTTTTTCGCGGCTACTTTGACTCCGTACGCTAGCGTATCTGCTTTTGCTTTTTCACGATCTTTTTCAAGCGAACTGATCTGTCTGTTATCAGTAATAGTCCTTTTCATCCCTTACAAAAAAATGTTACTTGACGAGGGTGGCGTTGGGATTTTAGGTTTTGGCCATTTTTTTAGGTCGGTTTTTCGGTTTTTGCACCGAAAAACTTCGGTTTTTAGGTTTTGTTGGCCGTTGCGGTTTCCGGTTTTTCGGGTTTTTAGCACCCGGTTTTTTGGCAAAAATAAAGGAGGTTAGATTCCTCTCTGGGTCTCTGCGCTGTCCGGATGTTAATTAGGCGATTTTAAATGTTTCTATTTTACTGTCAATCCAGGTCAAATTACAATATGGGATTCTGGATTTTTGATTGAGGTTTACAGTAGGCTGTGCCAGGCTCTCGGTCAGTGTAGATGAGCGAAAAAAGTGAACGAGAAGCGAAAGAAGCACGGGAGCAGCAAAAACGTGAGTGAGCGAAAAACGGCGGGAAGGGAGAAGGGGAGAGCATGTAGCATCTCCTTAAATACCTTAACCTGAGATCAGGCTCAATTTTCGTTTCGCTTTTTAGATAACATTCCGGCGGGCAAGGCGAAACGAAAACATAGCCTGATACAAACCTTCTACGAAAAGTCTGCCGCCAACTTTTTTGATTGATTGACATTTGCTGAATCAGCCAACCAAAATTACTTCCGTTGCTTGTTTTTTTAGTATGCAAATTTTTCATATGTGGGAAAACTGCAGACTCGCTGACTTAAAAAATAGCTTTTGCCTTTTTAATTTTTTAAACTAAAAATAAAACAGTCAGCACAGTCACATTTAACTTCTTACAAGATTAAAAGAGATCTCGAAGGTTATTTATGTTGGCGTAGAAGGTAAAAAGTTTTCGAAAAGACGGCGACACGATGTTCTAGTTTTAAAACATCTTTCGACCGCTTGAGGTTTCAACCCGGAAAAATAATCGGGACACTGGAGCTGACACAAACCATACCGTAAACTTTCGCTCAATAAACCTTCCCCGACCCCCACTTATAAGCCATCCCCCCCCCTCCCGGGCCCCTGCTATAAGCCCATCTTCTTGTAAACAATTAAATACATCCAGTTATAAGCCCTTACGATCCTCCTTCTTTATTGCGGATCCTGTTTTAAACAGTCTAACTTTTTAACTCCATCAGATGGTACGTTTTCCATCCTATTGATCATTGATAGTTATGTTAAAAGTTTAGAGCCACTGGGTTCCGTTTTGTTTACTGGTGTCGCCGTGAAAGAATTGACATCTCCGACATCTCTCCGTCACTGAATTTGTCAAAAACACTCTCACTACGGTGTTTAATATAAGCAGAATCACATTCACAGTCCTCACATTCAGAGTTATTGTCAAGGGCTTACCTTAAATTCAGAGGAGGCAATGATGACAGAAATGGCATTTATATTCATCTCCTAAGGAGGTAATTTCCGACGCCATTTTGTTTGTTAATTCTTTGCAAGGCACTCTCTTGCAAAAGATGTGCGTGAGAGTCACACGAGATGGCACAAACTGTGCTAAAAATAACACATTTAATGGCTATGATATATAACCCATCTCTGGAAAAGGTATCCAGTTACGGTCTCCTACCCCGACTTATATATATCGCTCCTGGCAGAGTATAAAAAAGTAATTTTGAGCCTTCTTCAGTATGTTATAAACGTAATTACAAACTACAAACAAATTACAAACTTGAGCGTTGGTTATGATCTAAAAGTTTAATTCATAAGATAGTTGCGTACCATACCTGATTTAGCTACCCATAGCTAGGTTGCAATATGTTACATATGTCAATATAGGAAGTGGAACACAGAAGGCAGTACGTTTCAATTCCCCCCTGGGGGAGGAGTAGGGCTTTCCACAAGTTGCTCCAGATTTCCTAAAAAGTTTCCCGTTTTTTGTTAAAAAGTTGCTCAAAAGTTGCTAAAAGAGAGTCAAAAGTTGCTCAAAAAAACAATACCTTCTTTTTTGTTGCTCTCTTCCTTTATTTAGTCAGATGCAAAAATATGCAAATTGTACAACAAAAGTAAGATTTCTAAGCATTTCTGTGCAATTTCGCAGCATAATTAGCGTTGCTAGATATAGTCCAGTCAATCTAGGCATTTTTGAGCCTCAACATCAAACTAATTGCAACAATTTTGTTTTCAAAGCCATTAAAGTAAGGGTGGCGTATTTAGCAATATACTAAAAATCCGCCAAAATCCGTTCGGTGGAACATGTCAAAATTGAGCATTAAAATTTTGAGCTTTTAACACAGGACACCCACGTTAGTTGAAACGAAAACTGCAAAAAAAATGAGCTTGTTACTTTTCCGGAAAACTTACTGCCCTTTTCACAAACATGAGAACTCTAAAGTTCAAAAGCCGCCTTCACAATTGCGTTTTTCGCTGCCGTCAATCATAATTACGATCACAAGCAACGAACCTTCAAATACAGAAACACACAAAACGGACCGAAATCCACCAATCACAAATCACAAACCTTGACCTTTTGAACCTGTTAAAGATGATTGACTTCAGCGAAAAACGCAATCGTCAGTTGGCTTTTGAACTTCAGAATTCGCATGTTTGTGAAAAGCGCGGTAAAAAGAAAACAAAAATAGCTGCTTCGTAAGAAGTGCTTCTTTTTTGCACAAAAGGTAAATTTTAAACACGGTTGGCTATTGCACAGGAAGCCCGTGCTCCGTTCCAGGAAGCCCAAAATAACAGAGGGTTTATAATATAGTGGACCGAACTGCTAGCTGTAAAATTACAACAAACTTAGTTGTCAGGCTTTAAAACTGAAAAATGAAAGCCGTTACGGCCAAAATAGAGCACCCCCTCAGACAGTCACAGAGATGTCAACATAAAAAGTAAGAGCGTAGTCGGTGATTTTTTTTCTTTTCATCCTTTCTTTCTCCTTGCTCTTTCTATTTTTTTTTCCTTTTTCTTTTCTTCATTTGCCTCCGGCTTTTGGTCTTTTTCTCAGTCAAACGACTGCAATTTTCTTATGTACGTTTTCAAAAATCCAGCTAGATACTGTTTAGGCTTTAACTGTTAACCATACGTTAATTTTCGTTAATGTGCCGACATCTGCGAATATAAGGCTTTATTATTCATTCAAAATATTTCCCGATTCTGATTGGCTAAAAGCAATCGTTTAATTCACCATAACCAATTACTGATGACCAAATTTGGAAGAAATTTGTGTTTAACGAGGAAATGACGTCAAAAATGCAGCGTTTTCGCAGGTTAAGGCACCGTTAACCGAGAAGACCTGGGGACGAGGTTGAGTTGTTTTCATTGTGAACGTGAAAAATGGCGGACATTTCACTCGTTTGAAGAGTAAGAACTAGGCGAAAACATAGCTAAAAACATGGCAAGAACAGCAAGAAGACAACTCGAAGGGCAACATCTGCTATTTGGAGAATATTTGCGGAGCTGGACAAACCTAGACGTGCACCATCGAAGATGATATCGATGGAGGTGAGCATGTTTTAGCCATGTTTTTAAAGTAGGAATTATTTTGAATGAAAAATAAAACAATTATTGAATTCGGCTTTCATATCATATGAAGAATTATGGAGATCTCGGAGGGTGTTATCCGTCGAAGCCGTAACACCCTCCTCGATCTCCATAATTCTTCATAAGATACTCAGCCTC